TGTAAACTCAATATATCAGATTCAGAAAGAGGCCTAGGAGTGATTTTTTCAGATAACTTGAAGTGGAAAAATCAAGTATTATCGAATGCAAACAAAGCTAATCGCATGTTGGACATAATAAAAAAATCTTTTGTTCGATTTGATGCTGAACTGCTTAAATCCCTATATCTTTCATTTGTTCGACTGCTACTTGAGTTTGCTATACCAGTATGGGCTTCTTATCAAAAACAAGATATAATCATTTTAGAAAAAGTACAGCGTCGTGCCACTATATATATATATATATATAGGTACGTACATAAAAATTTTAAACCGTTTATATATAAGACTATTATATATCATTGGAAAGAGCTTTAAATTAATATTAAAATGGCGAAAATTTCATAGAAAAAGAATGATTCTATAAAAAGTTATGCAAGTTTAAGTATCAAAATTTAACAACAAAGATTACTTAAGAAAACTGCGACCAACATTAAAATTTCACGTTCGGCTAACGGTAGTTTTGTGATAGAACATTTTCGCAAACTCGCGCAATATTTTTTCTCGGGTTTGAATTTTTATTGAATAAAGTTTCAAAGTAGCGAATATAATAATTTAGTTAATCAAAATATTTCTTATGTAAAAAAAAAAATCAAATTAATTTCCTTAGGTATATAACAAATATTGCGAACATCATATAAAAACGATTATAATAATATTGCGTACATTTTAAAGACAAAAATATTTAACAGTAAAACGCTTCTTCTTATCAAGTATAAAATTTATAGAATATAGGAAAAAACGAGTCGCTGAACTATCTGATGTTTTTTTCTGTCCCTATTTTAATGTCTATATTTTTACTCCGTTTCACAAAAATTTTTAATTACACTCTTATAAAAAAACATGTTTAAAAAGAAACAAACGTGTATTTTTTTGGAAGGGCCTTAAATAATAGTGGAACTAGTCCAATTGCAAAAAGATTCATTAACAAATTTTTTTTTATCTCTCATTAAAATTTATTAAAAATACATAAGAGGATACAGAAAACGGGTCACGGTTCCTAGTTATAGCAAATAAGTTAGCACTATTGGTTTGATTTTATCTTAAAGTTTAATTTTATTCTGTAAAGAATATATCAGTACGAAGTAACAATTTAAAAGAGAAAAAATATTAACATAACTAAAGTCTCTTTAACAGAAATGACATTTGCTTAACATTTCTTCCAGTATTTTTTGAGGCTGTAAAATTAATAAAATTTTTAATTTATTAATATTTTAAAGGCCTCACATTTTCCTTATAAAGCATAAGGAAGATATAGAAACGGGTCACGGATACTAGTTATGTCAAATAAGTTAGCTCTATTTGTTTGCCATTTCTTAAAGCAACTTTTCTGCAACAAATTCTAAACTAATTCTTTCAAGTTATTTTTAACACCAGTTTTAGCAAATTATTAAACTAATATAGATATGATTTGTACCGAAAATCTCGATCCGTATTTACCAAGGTAATAAAAGTATAAACGGTCTCTATTCATATATAAAAACATAACGAAAATATAAAGAAAACAAAGCAAAACGAACAATGTATGTAATACAACACTATAATTTCAATGAGAAAAAATTTACAAATTTATGTGAGAATCAAAACACATTTTTCTTGAGATAAAAAAAAATTTACGTTAAAAAAAAATAAAGATTTTTTAAATATTATATTTAACATTAAAAAGTATCGGAAGTACTTTATAAAATCAAATGGAATTGTTTTTTTATTGTATAGCCTTTAGTAAATGGTATAAAAATTAACAAAACTTCCTTTTGGCTTTTAGAAAACGATCAACAATAAGAGAGGAATTCAACCTAAAAATGTAACAAAATTATTGAAAACACTTATTACACATGAATGTATACGTAATCAGTTAATTTAAATAAAAACTCAAAAATGTGATAACAAATAACAAACTTACTTTAAGAGATTTTTTTGTGTGCGTATTTTTGTGAAAATTTCAAGATTTATTGTTGCAAGTTTGGACTATAAACTCTTTTTAAAAAAAGCAACGCTAAAAATAATTAAAAAAAGATAATTCTTTACATTTTAATATAAAAATTGAATCCTTGGCTTTTAGTGAATGATTATATATAATCAGTTCCAGTAATGAAACAATCCAATAATCATTTTTAACGATAGACACCGACGTGAAGGTAAGCCAAGTCGTCTATCAACACAAAACATCACAACAATAACATCACACGATTAACAAATAGCACAAAACGTTACAGTATACACTCAATAACTGAAACCACCAAGGGAACAAGAAATTAGCTTATTAGAAAATGTTTAGGATTATTGAAAGCATATTCCATAAACAATTGGATCAATTGAAATTTCAAAATTAATTCAAGTTATTAAGGGTTATTGAGTTATCCAGATTCTATAGAATTTTTTTTATTTACTAACAGCATAACATACTTATAAGTACACATTTTGTGATTACAAACAGACTTTATTATGTGTTTCATGTCAGTACACCGCTTGGCTAGCAAGGACAACACTCTTGCCATAAACAAAGTCAAGTCACAATATTCAAAGTACACCGCTTGGCTAGCAAGGACAACACCCTTGCTGTAAACAAAGCCAAGTCACACCACTTTGAAACCATGGAAACAACATAATAAATACTTTTAATCTATAAAAGCATAACATTATAACACATAATACACTTCATATAATACAGTGATTTACACATTTATTAAACATAAATACTTACAAAATATATACAAAATATAACCTTTACACATATATAAACACATAATAAAAAACACACAATACCGTATTAAATAACACATAAAGCATAATATTATTATCATAATTTATCATAATTAAATTATCATACTTATCATAAGATTGTTACCATAATTTGCTTATGATAACATCAAATCACCGCTTATGATAAAACATTTTAATTATTAATCTATCATAACATCTAACCTGTATCAGATGTGAAGTCTTGGAAAAGACTATTTCTCAGTCCTCCACATAACACTACTCCAGAAAACAGAAAACTCTGAAGTTTCTGGTAGTGATGTATTAAAGTTCCACATGTATGAAAAAGTATGTGCAATCGATTTCCCCTATAGCGTGGTATAAGTCCTCTAGGAAGACCATGCTGTCCAAAAAGGTGACAAAGCCTTTTGGATCACCTTTAAAATAAAATTATAACCAAAAGTGCAATGCAAAAAACTTATTTTAAGCAAGTATGTTAACAAAACACATTATTAAGTTTAGATTTAAATTCAAAATAACAACTTGAAATAAAATAAATTTAAAATATTAAGATGACATTATTATAGTAAAAATATGATAAGAATTTATCATATTTATTTACCTTTACCATCCTTGTAACGGAGTTTATTTAACTGAACAACATATGTTGCTGATAATCGTGCTTCGTACATCAGTATATTGTTTCCGGTAAAAGTCACTATACAACTTAGCAAGATTATCCACAGACTTTGTAATATGACTCATATAGTCATAAGATGTACCACCAGCAAGCTGGTCAATGGCTACAACCATGCACGAAGATTCATTTGTTAAGTGCACAACATTGACATGAACACCCTCCTGGGTTGTGGCATCAAAACCAAGAGTCAAATTTTTTGTTGAGAATGCTATCTCAGCAGCCTGGAGTTCTGAAATAATACCCAGCTCGCGCATCATCTGCTCCACAGTTTTGCGATGTGGAATGTCACTAAATCTATACCCAAAGTGTTCTCCTACTTTATGAAGCAGTTGGGGCACACTGTGTGTAGGAACTTGACATGCTAGCATGTCATAGATAAGTGCCCTAATATCAGATGAGTAGACTTTTTTACATCTGGTGCTTTGTACTTTCTGCTGCATTTGCTCTTTCTTTTCCTGTAAAATAAGCATATCATTTTGCAGGACATTAATCTCTACATTCTTGTAAGCAAGTTGTTGACGTAAGATAACTTCTTCATTAGACAGCTTTGTTTGGGTGAATTGCAGTTCTTTTTTCAAATGAAAATTCGAAATTTGAAGCTTATTCAGCTGTAAGTTTAGACGTTAAACTTTTAATTTATTCCGCAAACTTCGAATTGTCTTTTCTTTGCGAGCATTAGTCTCATTGAGATGTTTAAATCTTGGCCTTGTTTTAATTTTTTCTTTTAACACCTTTACATTCTCTCCATGCTTTCGTTTTTCGGTAGCAATTTCAGTAGCAAAAACACTTAATCTATGTTTGAGGAGTTTTTTTCTTGGAGTCAACTGGTCAGCTCTTAACCTGGATAACAAAGGACTTTATTTATTAGGTGAAGACAGAATACTTTTATGTTTAGGAGATGAGGCAACTGACAAATACGAAACAGTTTTACTTGAACTTGGACTTGACTGAAATGAATCTGTTGCTGGAAATGATGCTGCTTGACAAATAAAAGGCTCGTTGCAGAAGTCAACAAAATGTTTTGAATCTCTTAAAAAATTGCAAGCCCATTTTTTTGATACATTAACAAGAGGTTTAGTATGACTGTAACAAATATTGAAGCCATAAAGTTTATTGATCTGCTCAATAGTTAATTGATGTGATTCATTATTGCTAACGAATACAAACAGAATATGCCCATTTTTACAATTGTTGTCTACTTGCAAAGACAATGCAAAGTTTGATTCTAAATAGTTTTTCGCTGCACCACGAAACACACACATATTCTTTTTGGGACCCATAATACCATATAATGTCACGTTGAGTTATTTCTTAAATGAAAAAAAGAACATCCAGAGAAAATTAGTTACTTGCTTCTTTTTTAAGCAAAAAAATTTAATTGATATCATTTGTATGCAATAAATTTCAATTTTGTTCAATCATGAGTTAACTTTACCAATGACTTAAAATAATTTATTATGATAACAATTATAAGCTTTAAAAACCATATGGTTATCATCTGGTGATTTATCATCTATAATTTATCAATTATGTTATGATACTGATGATATTGTATTATGAT